CAGTCACCCCTACCAATGGCTGACTGGCTACTTGCTTTCTTCTTCAGCTCTCAGTAAGGACTGTTTTCCCTCTGACTTTCACCTTGTTTAGCAAAGTAGAGAAGATTGAGACCTTTACTTGAAGACTGCCTCCTTAACTTTCTCTAAAGAAAATGCAGTATATCTTCTTAACTTTCTGTAAATGTCTCTCTAAGGAGATATCGGTTTCTGCTGGGTCAGAAATTTAACTCCTCTGTGCTGTTGTTTTCACCTGCGACAATTATATTCCAGGTGTAAGAATTCTTTTGACATATTGTATATCCTTGGGGTTTTTTGTGCTCTGTGGTCAAGAACTTTTAAGAGGACTTATATGACCATATACTTGACAAAAAGTAAATCAATTAGGGGATTCGAAAGATGAGCAGTAGGTTGCTCCAGGGGATGGAACTTCTTCTGCTGTCAAGTAAGGTGGTAAATGAAATTAGGAGTTTAAAATACTTTCTGTTAATATGTTCCTGATTTAATGAATACGCACTGTCTTTCATGATAGGAACAAAAGTAATAGAGAAGAAACCGTGCTGCAGCGCAAAACAGCTGCTAGTGCTCCTCCGCCCCCAAGCGAGGAAGCTGTGTCAAGTAGTTCTGAAGATGATTCTGGAACAGACAAAGAGGATGAAGGTGCTGTTTCTCAACGTTCAACTCCAGTAAAGGTGACTGATACAGGAGATAATTCAAAAATCACAGAGGTAAGAAATTACTGTGGTATACGAAAAGGACAATCATGGACTGAGAATTCATGCTTCTTCCAAAAAAGTGTTTTTTCAACAGTAAATGTTACAGAACAGTCAGAAGTAGAGCATTAAACAATTAGGAATGGAAGAAGGTCTCCAGCATATCACCTTTATACAGATATTAGCAAAAGTGGTAAAAAAAACTTTGCCTGTCTTCCTGTTGTGTAAGAGTCTTCACACAACTTACAGTGGAAAATAACATTTTCAAAACCAGAAAATCTTGTTTGAAACTTATGGCATCTGAAGGGGATTGGGTGTACGTATTTGTATAAAATGTATCTATGCTAGTGTGTTAGTTCAGAGCAGCAGTGCACTTCTGATCTTCTCCCCTCACCATGCTTTACCTTAAATCATGGGATGGCCTTGGAGTATGCAAAAAGGATTCCTTTTGGATGAAAGTCAGCTGGGAGATGGTCTCAGGGAGTGTACCTACCTGATCTACCTATGTAATGAGCATTTAGTCCATGGGAGCTAATCTGAGCACCAGCTCTTTGACTTTCCAAATCTACTCCTCCTAACTTCAGTACTCTCTCAGGTGGACACAGCGGTAAGTTAGTTTTCAGTGTGGCTAAATTTCAACCTGATTTAGCTGCAGAGTTTTAAATTACTGCTTCCTACTTATGTATCAGAAAAGATCAAATAAAGCTAACTCGAAAAACTTGCATGACAATTTTGTCACATTGGTACTCTACTATTACTAGTCTAAGGTTGAAGATTAAAGCAGGATAATAATGAAATTGTGTATGCACAGTCATATGGAAAGAATGTGTTTGCTCAGATCTGGGTTATCAGTCTTCTGTTGCGAGCACCACTCCAATTCTCTTGGGATCCCTTGTGTGCTAATTTAATGAAAATATTAATTTGTACCTAATGTTACAGAAATAAACTATTTTATTAATTCATATGACACTTCTTCAAATTCTTTGTTATACCTATTAATCTGGGGTACCGCTGAAAACATTATTATCTTAGAAATCAGATATGCTTGTGGAAATCTTACAAATTTGTAAAATATTTCTTTTTTTTAATGTCAGCTAATTTAAATAGTTATGGTGTTGTTGTTTTGCAGGTTGTCACTTTTGGAGAAACTTCGGTATTTGTGGATTTAGTCACTATCAGTTGTAGTTCCTCACAGGCGACAGAGAATGAAACTGCACTTTTTCATCTGCAGTTCAAATTTTCATTCAAGACTAACTTTGACTATTCAGTCTTTACCCTAGGGTTGTTTGTGCCCAGATAGTCTAGTTAAGCTTTCTGTGCAAGACTGGCTTTTTCCAAACCCTAATAAAGCATCTTCCAATAAAATAACTATGAAGTAGTTATGAATGAATTTTATATGAATAGTATGAATTCTGGACTTGTGTTATGCAGAGTCTTACACTAGTGCATTTATTTCTGTTCATGCAAGATACTATATTTGAAAATTTTCCATTTTCTCAGAATAATAATAGAAAGTACCTGTTTTCCACCAATTGAGATTTACATTTTTTTTAAACAGAAATCCAGTGCTAAGTTTTATCCTTGATTCTTACCCTTGACCACCTGCACAAATCACTTCATTCCATCCATGTATTGAGTACACTTTAACATTGGGACTTAAGATGTATTTTTAGATTTTTTAAGATGCTTAAAAGAAAAGTGCCTGTGAATGCAAAATACTATTGGAGGCAGCGTAGAGTTTTATTGGCTTACAGTTGGGTGAGCTATTTTGATTCTTTTGCTGATGCACATGAATAAGTATTTTATGCTTTATTAGCACTTTTTCTTACATCAAATTTTAGTTATAATTTGCAATATTAAGTTCTCATTGTTATTAAAATTGCAGTGCTGAAAAGGACTACCTGCTCAGGCTGAGTTGCTACTATAGCAGTTGACTTGGGTTTTTATTAGTATCTGTCTGCCATTGTAAATTTCTTTATTCTCTGCAAAAGTACAAAGCCTATCTTAGATGCATTATTTTCTGAGGGCATGATGTTTATGGAAACTTTCTGTTCGGGAGCCAAGCATACAAATTAGGAATCTTAAAGAGTATGTTAGACATCGGATTTTAACATAATCACCAGCTGATCTTCATTTAGTCTGAGGAGTTGTTCTTCCATTCCTAGGTCAAGCAGAGCATCAATTACTTGCTTTTCAAGAAATGTTTTAGAATTAATCCTCTAGCAATATCAGTTATTAGTTGTGTTTACACATGCAGTTAAAAAATTTAAAAGGAGGAACTGTAATAGAGGATTTGAAACCTTGGTGGCTGAACTGAATAGTATAACAAGAACCGAAAGAACTGTGACTGAAAAGGATGATATTTTTTCTAGTTGATTTACGAAATGTCTTTTTTCTAGAACTGGTAAATCGTAGAAATGTGTAAGATGCATTTTTTTCTTAGCTTCCTTAAACAAATAAAGTATCTTACTTTACTGAAAAATAAACCTAAAAGCATAGGCTTACACATATTCCGCTATCTGTCTCCGTTAGCTAAACTGATAGCTTCCTAACATTTTGACCCATGTCAGTCTGCACTTTGGTGTTTCCGCATTTGTGAAAATGACTTGTGTATATTAGTGCTCAAATAAATACTAGAAGTTTGGGTGGGGGAAAAAAGAAGTGCATGGTAATTTTTGAGTAAAGGAGTTGATATTTGTAAGCTTATGTTTCTAGGTGCTCATGTTTAAGTGTTTTTAAGTGTAACCTTATATTTTTAGGTCTTGAGTAAATATGATTATTCCAGAATAATTGGATGTTTGGTCAGGGATTTGAATTTTGGTATTCTCTTTACATCAGCAATCCTCGTAGAGCTAGGAGAAAAAAACAGCTTGTTCTTATCTATTCATATCTCCCAGAAGTTTAAAATAACAAAATGCTCTTGTACTTCTTGTTAGAACATACCTTTCCTTGGATCTTCTTTGACTGTGGATCTTTTTGAGCTAAAAGCAAACCGCCTATTTTTGTACTTGGCTTCCTTGCAATTGTGTATGTCTTGTCACTAATCCTGTCAGTTTAACTCTGAACCTTTAGATGTGGTTAGTGATGTATGCATGTGCATTACCGCCTTGTTATAGTTGACTGACATGATTGTGTAACGTACAAAGTGGAAACAGTTGTCTTCAACTTGAAATTTTTAGTCAATTTACAACTGACAGCAGGAAAGCAGAAAGCAAATGTGGGAGCATGTTGTGGACAAATACGATTTTTTTCATTTATTAAATTTAAAGACGGGACAGGATTGAATGCATACTTCATAATGTGCCCTGTAACTATTATTTAATCTCCATATGTGTTGTTATATCTGATATATCTTTCAAGAATCCTTTCCTTTCTTGTTGAACAAATGTCTTGGATATTTCTAGTAAATCATTTTTATTACAAAAGATGTGCATAAGCTTAGTTTGCAAAGATTACTAAGTATGTGAGGAGCTTGTTTGGTTTTGCCTGCACCTTATTGTAATTATTTTCAGATTTAGAAATAGTTCTATTCTTTCAAGTAAACTCTAGTTTGGATGTTGTTACAGTATCCTCAGTCTGAGTCTTTGTTCTTATGTTCCAGAATGTAGTCCAGTCCACAAAAGACGTGTATGGAGTTAATCTTTCAGATGTTCCTTCAGAAGATGATCTCACAATATACACAAGGTGAGATATTTCCCAGTGGCAATCAGTAAAAGATAATTGAAACTGGTTAAAAACCAGTTGACAAAAGTTTGAGTTGTCAAGTTCCAGCTTGTCAAAAGTGCTGCCTTTGACAAAGACTTACCTAAATTCTGTATTTCAGAGATATTTGGAGGACTCTTACTATTCTTCTTTTTAAAATCAAACTCTTTTCAGATCTGTCAGTTCTGAATTCAGTGAAAGTTACGCAGATGTCTCCAAACGCAAAATTTGGAACTTAAATGGAATGAAAGATGCTTCAGCAGAAATATGTCAGTTAATATATTCCTAGGAATAAATAAACACATTCTAAATTAGTAGTGATTCCATGGTTCTAGAGTATGTAGTCTGTGATTTTTGCATTTGTTCAAATGTTGAATTACACTAACTTAAATTGGTCATAAATGACCTAGTCTCTTCTGCTAAAAATTACATATTAAAACACCTTAAGTTTTTTCTTAAAGTAATGTCTTATGCACAGAGGTATGTGTTAACTGTTACATCTTACTAAAAATTAAATATGTGTGACTTTCAGTATTCTAGGAAAATTACTTTTCTGATTAATACTCAACCTTTTTCTTGAAATGTCTTGACCTTTTGAGTTTGAAATACAAAATCGTAGGTTTCATAGGGAAATCTGGGGTAGTTGCTTAATCTGGTATAGGTTCCAAGCAGAAAAGTTGAGAAAAGTGACAGGAGTAAAGGAGAAACTCGCATTGTAGCAACATGAATGTTTATGTGACAGAAATATTTGTGCTGTGAGGAGAGGACAGAAGTCATTTTGGCCCTTGCCGTTATCAGAGCTCCATGCAAGAACAACATGTCTGCGGTGCGTGTATTTACAAATATGTGCGTGTGTGTTATGTATAATGTATCAGCACAGCACCTAGTGTAGGGTGTGTAATAATGTGCTGTTCCATCATTTCTTTATTTTGAACAGCATCCTACTGCCCCATGTTTTTAGTAAGTGGTTTCACGAACTCAAGCCATACTTAAGTAAATGAGAGTAAGGCGTTACGTTGTGCAAGGCAAAATACAGCTCTTTAGGTAGTCCTGCAAGTTACCCCTCAGTTCCTGCACTTTGTGGTGAACTGCTACAACATGAGGCAACATGCTGCCCAGCATGTACAGGCTGTCCTCCGCAGCTGGGAGCTGCTGGCTTACTGGTTAGAGGTAAGAGTTGGTGGGCAAACATCAAGGTCTCACCTTCTAGCTCCAGCTGAATTCCAGCAGACACAAAAACTGCTGCTTTTACACCAGTACGCTGTACAACGCAGTCGTCTTACCGTGTAGAAGGCAGTCATCACTGCTCCTGCAGGAACCGTCAACTGCCACGAGCAAACAGCAAATTAATGGTATATTTCCCCCAAAAAACTATGTGAATCCCATTGTGTTAGAAACACTGTTTCTGCATGGCCCTAACCCAATATAGAGCACTGGCTATATGGTACATTATTAAAAAAAAAAACATGTACTTAAGCTGTTGTTTTCAAGTATTCTCCTAAATATCATAGAGTAAAACTGAAGCCAAAGTGTTTTTTTTAAACTGAAGCTGGAAATGAATTTAAACATTTTGAAACTTTATTAACTCAAACCAAAACTGAGCTAGAATCGTTGCAGTCACAGCTGAACTAAAACTAGAACTGATCTGAAAGTTAATCATTCAGCTCCCTGCTGAAGAAGGTCCCTTCCTGAGTCGCAATCTTTTTCTTTGGAAACTAGTCAGAATAATAGGAATTCAGTATGTGAGATCAGTCAGAGAAATTTAGATCCAAATTGAAGACCCTCTTACTTCCGAAAGGTCTGTAATGCTGTTGCCAAGAGAGAAATGGCTTATGCAAGACACCTGCCGTGCAAATCAATTATGTTGGCTTAGTAAACCAATGTTTCAAACACCTGCTTAGACTGTAGAATTAATGGAGTAAAAGAAAAGCGTGCAAGAAAACGACATGTCTTCTCAAAAAACACCGTGTATATATGTTGGAATGAATACTTGTGACGTGTTTTCTAATGTGTAATAGCAGTAATTACCGTGTTATGTGAACCATCTTCAGTTTGTGAATAAAGTGTTAATTCACTATGATTTCTTTCCATGTGATGATATGTGATGACTTAGCTCCTCAATCCTTTTCAAGCATTTTAAGAAAAAATAGTCATTTCTTTTTATTTAAAAGCCTTTTTCTATTACCTTATTTATTTAGGGATAGCTACTTCTCTTTGCTTCTTCAGTTCGTTGAAATTCCCATTTCTAGCTGTTTCCTACGTGCTGAGTCATTTGAAGCTATTACGCTTGAGCAAGGTTGAAAAGGCTTTTTCTCACTCTCTCTGCTGAAGTTCTTAACTTCACCGATGTTCTTTACCGCTAGAGACAGTTCAAAAATGGATGTAGATTGGACAGTTTTCCTTTGGCATATGTGATAGGGGCTGTTGTTCGAGAAATAGCCCACTGCTAGCTGGTGTCCACTATGGGCCACTTACTGCTGATGAGCAGCTCTGTGATAACATCCAGGGTTGGAGTTATTTCCCATTTTATCATTTTTCAGGCTGGACTAACAGTCTATTATTACAGTAATACTGTAGAGTCCATGGGGGCTTTGAAGCTCTGTAGTCATATCTTTTTCAAGTCAAAAATCTTGCATTTATTTTGTTTCCTTCAAGCAATACAGATTTAAAAATAAAATAATTATAATTTGGCAGTTCCTTACTTCTTTTAGCTAACAAGACATAATACTATTTATGGTGTGATGTGCTGATCTGTATGGAAGTATAGATTTTACTGAGATCCATTATTACAATGTACATCAGTTGAGAATAGCAGCAATTTATTTCACAGTATGTTACAGTTCGCACTTCAAGTCTTTTTCTATTGCTATAACAAAGGAAATGGAGACATAAGATACATCTTGACTCGATGTCATTTGACACGTTGCCTGTTTTTTTTTTTATTAGCGTCAGGATTTGTTCTCTGAGGACTTGCAGATATAAAATACCTCAGGTTAATAAATTACTTTATGTCAACTGATCTATAGTGACTATACGTGCAAATGAAAAGTAATTGGAACCTGTTCAGCGCAGTTTCACTGATGGCTGAGATAATTTGTGTTAGTTCATGTGAAAACTGGAATAATTTGAGGCTGTATACTGCAGCTGTGTATGGTACTTATTAATGTCTGCTAACTTGTGTTAATTTAAGCCTTGTTTGTTTCAGAACGGTGAGTAACTTAAAGCGGTTAATGGAAATGCTTATATTCAGCCCAAACATAACTCGCCATTTTATTTGTTTTTTTTTAAGCTTGTTTCAATAGCAGACTTCTTCCCTGGAATATCTTTAATAGTTTTTTTTATTCCTACTGATAATTCTTATTTAGAAATGTTAGTGTTTATTCTTATGACACGTCTAAGGTAATGTCACTTTTGCTGTCTAGTTAAACTTGGAGCTAATTTCTTTCTGATGCTTTCATATGTACAGTATAAAACCTGAATGCAGAGAGGACAAAAAGCTGCAGTAAGTTGTTTATGAATGTATTAATCCATCGTATTCTGCACACTCTTCCATGCAGTGGCTTTTGCACTGTTAATTGTCCCCCGTTAAAATGAAGTAAACATTTCAGAAATAGGCTAATAGGACTGTTTTTAAGCTAAATGGAAGCTGAATGTTTAAACACAAAGTCAACCTCAGAAAATTAAAGGATTAAAATCACAAGTAATGTTTACTTCTGTTTTTAACAGCGCAGATGTGTTGGAGACTAAAATTGAGTTGAAGTATGTAAAATATATATAAAAATGAGTGAACAAGACTAGCAGTTAACACTTACTTTTATTTCCTTCTGATTCATTGCCAGGAGAAAAAACAGTATTTTTCTGTCTAATTTAGTGTCTTCCAGCAAGCATTTGGAGACAAGGAGAGTTCTCCCAAAGGACTGTGCTTGTAAATGAGTGATCTGGACTGACAGCATTTCAGTTGGATAAAATAGATAGAATTTGGCTGCGGGCTGACTGAAACATGAAGCTTGTGCAACTTTCCATCTATTGTGTTGACTTTTCCCGTAGGCTGTCTGTCTGACTGATTCCTTTGGAAAAGATGTAGGAATTCCATTTTCCAGAAGCCAGCTGTAGTAGGCTGCCTATTTTATAGGAGCAGAGGTTTATACCACTTGTTCTCTCCTAATAATGGTTCCATTTCTATCTGGTGAAGTGCCGTGTTACGCCAATTAATAGGCAAATCTTTTTCAAGCTAGAAGAAGCTGCGGAGTTCTCGCATGCACCCATCATAAAGTTCTAAAAATTTCTCTTGTTTACCAGAGAGGTAGGTCATGATCAGCAGTTTACATATCATGACTTAATGACTCATTTTTTGGTGTCATTTTTGCTGATGGTTTTGCAGGTAGTTCTCTTAATTCTTTTGATTTATTTTTTCTGTGTACTGCTATTCACAGGTTTGTCCAGTTGGGACAAAGTCAACATAAACAAGACAAGAACAGCCTACAGTTTTGCTCAAAACACCAATTGGATAGGGTAATAAATCTGTAAGTATTCTTTTTTTTCGCTCCCTTTAATTTTTTTTTTTAACTTTTCTCATTAGGCCTGAAAATCTTTGGGTAAATTTGATGTTAAATTGTTCGTGAGAGTCATACTTCTGTTGCTTTTACGGCTTGAAGGGATTTAATGCATAGGATGAAGAACCAGCTTCCTACTTCTCCCTGTGGTGAAACAACTTGTAACTTTAAAGGTGCATTTTGTTTTTTGGTTTGGGTGTTTTTTTTTTTTTAGTTTTTGTAGTACCAAGATTTTTGTATTCAAGATTCATAGCAATCGTGAAGTTAAAATTATCACAATTGAAAGTATTGAAGCGATTGAATTTAAAAGGCATTTTCTTATTGCTGTAATTGCTTTTGAAAGAGAGAGTTTGAAGGGGATTGGTTGACATAGGTATTCTTCATAAAAGCATTCAAAATTGCATTTCAGTCTTCCATTTAGTGTGAAGTTATCTAAATGTATTTGTCTGAGAAAGCTACACATGCTCTGCATTTATTTTAACAGATACTTGAGGCGTCTTGAGAAATCAAGTGGAAGATTTTTATTTCTTATGTTTCTGATTGGCCACGAGTTAGAGAGAATAGAGTAAAGGAGGAACAGACTCCTGCTTTGTTTATGTACTTGTTGCCCATCTTTGTTACTGAAGTCAGAGGATCTATGCTACCTTAAACCAGTTGGCAGTGTGCTTTAACTAAAGACAAGACCATCATGAATCTTGCATAGATATTATTTTAACAGTTAAACATCCTCTATGTTTTCCTCAGAAGTATCATCTTGGGTTTTTTTGTTATCTGCTTGTTTTAATAATGGCCCTTCGTATTTGTCAGTGATACTTTGAGCTGGTGAGGCAAGCTTTTTTCTAAACACTGCATTTGTCACAATAGATAAATTTTACATCTTCATGAACTGCTCCAAAGAGGTAAATACGTGAGGGTAAGTTGCAAGGGAGGTCATCTTCAACAAAGCCAGACAATCAGAGGAGGATGGTAGGAGTATTGCTGTCCAGAGATACCTGCCATATGGAATGACTTACCAATAAAATAAATATCCATTAATGTGAAGAAATAACTCTAACCTTGAAGTCGTAATAGGTGTACCGGTTAAAAATCTATGCTGAACTAAGGAATGTAAATGTTTGTGGTTATGGATTGATCATCACTGTACAAGAATGGCCTCTAGTGATAGGCCAGATCATTTGAATCATTGCGTTTGACCATTTGAATTTGTGATAGCAATATCAAAAAAAAATCATGATCTTATCCAAATATCATGGTATTATGAAAGCAGGTCTTTGGCATTTGGATGATCAACTTCTGACTTCCCAGCTGATCTATCCCTATGCTGTCCTGTTTCACCAGAACTGGTTTTTTGGCTTTTAGCCCTGGGTACGAGATCTCTTACGCAGCAGCCCAGCCACTCCTTAGAACCACAGACCAGCCCTGCAGTCCGCTGATTTACAGAAGCCTCAGCTTTAGTTTCCTGAACTGCCTCTAGTCTCTTCCCTCTGTGCTGAAGAAGTGGGGAAACCGTGAAGATACCACTCTCACAAGTAGGGATAAAGGCTGGGAATGTCTCAGTGGGCTTCAGGGAGCAGGCTAACACAAAACAGATTTAGTATTGTGATAAACACAATGCTACCCAACATCAGTCCGTAGTTAATTGGTATAGTGCATGTTTAAAATGATGACATCACTGTGTGTTGTTCAGCATTAATGAGCATATGCTTTGTAGATGAATATGCCTATAGTTTCATAATGGAATTTATCTGATGGTTATTAACATATTAACTGGGCAAACTGTAAAATTACATTTTTATGCATGAAGGAACAACTCTGAATATTTTCTAGTTTTGAAGGGAAGTCGCTAAGAACGGGTTTTATAATAGTAGGAACACTTTTGCTATTAACAAAGATGATTCTTTTTGTGTAACTGCAAAATCTCCTCGCGTGTTTTTGACAGTATCAGAGATAGCAATCATTCCTTTTTTGCCCTTTTAACACAGAGTAAAATATCCCTTATCTTATGTTGCAAAATGAACGTGTTAAGTAGAGTCTATATGCACAGTTTTGGTGGCTTTTGGGCAGTCAGAGCATTCTTCATTCTCTTTTCCCCAGTGTATTTTCTATGTGTTTCTGAATAGTGGAAATGTAAAAGTCACAGAGCACACAAATCTTATGCCCTCAGTCACTCCTGCTCTTGAAATTGTACAGATTGTCTTTCTCTGCCAGTCCTAACAAATGTGTTCTTCTGTGTACATCTTGGAGGAAGCAGGGTGTTTTACAGTCAGTAGTATTTTTGGACAGTATGCCTTTATACAGCTTAAAATTTTTCTCCACCTTTTGTTCTGCAATTTTTAAACAACTTTTTCATTCTGTTCAGACAGTGACAGATTGTTCTTTTGAGAATAGTCGTAAATGTAGCCATTCTTTAAGGGCATGTTGTTCACTTCTGGAACAAATAAACTTCCTTTCTGTTTACTGCTGTTTGAATTGCTGCTCTGAATCAAGAATTCCCCTGGAGAATACTAACCTTTTAAGAGATAAAATGGCAAGAGCATATTAAACTCAAGATTAGCTTGAGAGAGAGAGGGTTTTCAGTAACTGCAGTGGAGATACATGTAACATGTTGGACTCTCTATTTTCTTGTTGCTTTTGGAGCACTTTGTGAAATTGAAGAATTTATAACTGTTAGGAATATTCATGAAAGAGATAGGTGAAAAATGTGTTTATATTCTGTCATCTCTTTATGCTAAGCTTAAATCACAAAGATGTCTTACCTAGTTGCTTTCTTCTCCCATCAAGGAAACAGTCAGGGTTTCCTGACTTTTGTTTTTAAAATACATATTCTGCACTTCTTTAAAGAGGACCTTCTTGCTAAACATCCCTTTGTCAGAACAGCCCCTGGGCTTGGAAAAGGTTTTTGTCCTTAGTCTCCCCCTTCAAGTGTCCCAGAGGGGTGTGAACAGATTCCATTTTTTACCCATAACTCACTCTGTTTCTTCCTTGTCTGGGAAAGAGGATAGCTATGCCTCTTAATTAAAATTAGCATTGCTTCAATTCCTTGGAGAGGTAAATATCTTTGTTAAATTAGGATTCATCTATATTAGTTCCCTGCTTAATTAAAAATGCTTTGCCTCTATGAGGGATGAAATTCTTTCGTGTTTGTTTATTTGGATTCGTTTTACTTGGAAATGTCTTTGCACTGGATCTCATATTCAGTAACAGCTGTATATTAAGAAACATATTTGATCTAAACCTCTGGATACCTCTAGATAAAACAAACATATGTAGCTCACTACTAGCTTTTGACTGAGACTAGAGATGAGGGTAATCACTTTTGGGTAACCAACATTTTTCTTATACATGTGTCGTGACAACTTTAATTTCCATTCAGTGTTCCCTGGACTCGCAGAAATCTACTATTCTAGTATTCTAAAAATAGCTTTACGGTTTAGTCTTTCTCACTTACCTTGCATCTTTCCTCTTTTTCACTCTCAATATTTTAAGCAAAGTGCTTCTCTGCTTCTCCAGCACTTATTGCCTGTGAGAATTCTCATGGAATTTACTGGTGAGGCTGTTTGTAAATTACGTAGTTTTTGTTTTCTGGTCTAAAGATGAAAGTTCACGCTTTATTGTGATTCTGAATGGCTTTAGCACTATAAACATGCCTGTCTTCTACAAAATGTCTTGATAAAGCTGACTGTTACTGAGAATAACTTAATTTTGTATTCTGGGGAAGGGGTTTTAAAGTCATTGCGGGTACTTTCCCTGAAAGTACTGGTTACTTCATCGTTGGCTGAAAAAAGACAAAAGAGTATCAGGAATTAAGAGGAGAATAAAAGGCGCCGTTTTGTGATTTGAGGCTTTGTGTTCATTTTTAGTCACAGATCTCAAAAATAATACTGCTAGGAAAGGTCTAGAGAAAAGCAGTAGCGAGTAGATGCGAGTTGTAGAATTCTTCAGAAAAGAGCTGGCTTGGGATCGAATGAAATAAGTAGGTCCATGTTGTGGCGATTTGTCAAAATGCTCTTCACTGAAGTTTGACAGATGAAATGATTTGATCTTATGGTTAAGTCACTATGGGTGTGGATGATGGGAGAAGTGAACAAGATAACTAAGTCAGTTCTAACAGCTCATTGCCACCAAAAGGGGGAGGTCCTGCTCTTTCTCTCCTTCCTCTCATGTGTTTTTCCATTTACCTGTGCAAGCTTTGGCTCCTTATACCACTCAGTTTAGCTTGTCACCAGTCAGTTTAGCTTGTCAATCTGCAGCCAGCTAGCTCAGCAAAAAAAGCAAATAGTTTTCTGATAAATTGGAGAGATGAATTTGACCGCTGAAGGTCCCAGTTAGCATCATGGCCAGCATAGAAGAGGCAAAGGCAGCAGCACTTCCTGGTATGGGTGGTAACAGTTTCTTAGATTGACTCAGTTATCTTGTATAACTTTACTTACGACAAATTGGGGAGAGGACTGTGAGTCTTTCAGGGAGCTTGGGTAAATTGTTTAAACTCCCTGTGATTCAGATCCACACTTGCACGTAGGAATGATTATCTTCTTCCCGTTCATCTATTCTGTCAATACTGAGCTCTGAGCTTTTCAGGTTAGAGAGCTCACATGCTAAATTAGCCTTTGCGGTAGAGCTGTCAGCTGAGATTCTGAATGTTGTTTTGATAACAAAACTCTTAGTATTTATCTGCCTCGTACTGATTATTTATATCATCATTTTTATTTATTCATGTCCATTTCAAATTAAAAATGAGTATCACGTTTAAATATTCGAATGCTCACACTTGAAATATGGATCCTCTATATTTCCTCCATATTCACACTGGCTTCTGAATAAACATTGACAATAACAAATAATAAACCCCTGACGGTAAAGCTAGTTATTTCTATATTCTATATGAAGGACTTATTGTTTGGGGGATTTTTGTAGTATTAACAGTCTCTAGCAAAACCGGAAAGTTTTTCCCATCTTAGCCCATGGGCTTC